GTTAAAACTTTGACTTTTAAAATTTTAAAAGTCAAACGTAAAACTATAGTTTTGTACGTTGGCTCCGATACCACTGAAAGGTAACCATGCAAGGATAGGCAGCGGAATATAAAAATTTTAACATCCTAACATGATTATCTTGCCCAGAATCACGTACTAAAACATATAGTAGTAAGAAATTTATACCTTTCTCCGTAAGCAGCTAAAACGAAGAAGTCGTAGGAAGAGCGTTGAAAGTGCAAACGTAACCGTTCAAGCGTCCGGTCTCCAACTTTGACACACGAACAACGCCGGAGTCTACCACAATCTTTATGCTAGTAAAGATTATAGTAGTATAAAATATAAAGATTAAAATTGGGATAATGATAATCTTGTATATTTCTATAGAAAATATTTCTAATAATATTTAGAAAATATTATAGATATTTTCTATAAACAAAATGATATTAATAGAACACAAAGTATTTTCTCTCACTAAAAATGTAATGGCCAAAACTTAAAACAAATTGGTGATATCTCCTTCTCTTCTTTGCTAATGGTGCGTGAGGTGTATATTTAAAACAAAGATGTGATTAATTTTGTCATTAGCTAAATGACAAATAATTACCCCACTCAAAATTCAATCAAAGAAAATTGTGATTCTCCTCAATCCAAAATGGCCAAACAAATCATTGTGATTGTGAGAAGGATTTTCAAAATTCTTCTACACTCAAATGTTCAAAGTGTATTTTATTTGACACCAAAAATTAATATAAAATTAATTTTAAATCAAATAAAAATACCAATATCATTTTTAAACAAGTATACAAATATACTTTAAATAGTTTATGACAAAATAATTATTTTCATAATTAAAATGACAAATCAAAATAAAATATTCAACATATAATATATATATATATATATATATATATATTAATCGGCACATATATATAATATACATAACCGAATATTTATATATATATATATATAATATTATATTCCAAAATATTTTACTTTACTATTTTTACAAATATACAAATTACTTATTATCCCATTGTTTAATCCTACTCCTTAAATTGTCCAAAGTGTGTGACCCGTATAGGCATTTATAAAGCTGGCCACAGTATTGGCTCTGCACCAATACTATAAGCAATAAGCGGTATCTAGCAACACATTATTGCCCCCAGATTATAAGTTAAGACGTTTGCACCGTCAAAACCTTTCCACGACTCAAACTCCGTGTAACTCTATCCCTTTGTCTCAATGTCTAAACTTAATGCAAGGGATTAATAAAATCCAGCTTGTATCCATTAAGTCATTCACTGATTTATCAAGTTTGACTAATAGGAACAGACGTCATAAAAACATCTCAGCATGGCCATGCAATTTCCTCAATCATAACTTATCAGTGGGCCCCATAAGACATTAATCTCTTTAAAAAGAGTAGTGACAAATCCTATGTACGTAGTCTATGTTTCTGAATACGCGCTGCGGCATACCCAAAACAAAGCCTGTATACCATCCTTATTTCATATGGCTTAGGACAATGCATCAAAGTATGCGGGTTCACATATGCAGAAAACATAATACTTCAAGTCGAAGGATAGTTACACCCGTGGTCGCGTTAAAGATGCTTAGAGCATGAACTAAAAATTCAAGCAAGATCTTTAGAATGGGTCAGTCCGGCATCCTATTATCTCTAGATAATATCTGCCCATGTGCGGATGCGAACACACCGTCATTGACCATGAGACTAAGTCAAACATCCAACACACACTAGTCTCACATGTATTAACGATATCCCACTCTCGTTAATACTCGACTATGGACATTTAGATAAATATTTATTTCAAGATGTTAGTCTCATCAGCAGAATAACACTATCTGATAAACATCTTTTAAATATAAATCTAGGAATATAATATTTGTTTACATTAGCATGAGATGTGTAAACATATTATATCTGCCTATACATGATAGAATAACGATAAACAGTTGGCCATCAGGGCACAACTCCAACAATTTACAACAAGACTATGCCACTCTCTAAGAAGAGAGAATATAATCTTGGTGTTAATCTCACTAGTAGGATAAACTTTATTTAGCTTACTCAAATTGTTGACAATGAGGTTGAATCGTTTGTTCATATCTTGAACGGATTCTCCGGCCTTCATCTTGAAGTTTTCATACTCGGATGTTCCTAAAGCTATCTTGGTAGCTTTTGTGTCTTTATCTCCTTCATGGGTGGCTTCTAGGAGCTTCCATGCTTCCTTTGCGGATTTGCAAGAGCTCACCCTAGCAAACTCATCTTGACCCAATGCACAAAACAACACATTTAATGCTTTGGCATTCAAAGAGAGTTTTTTCTTATTGTCGGTTGTGAGCTCGTCCATTGGCGTAGGCACTTGGTGTTCACCTACAGTTGTCATAAGAACAAACGGACCATGAGTAGTGACTATCCATAAATCATAGTCAATAGATTGAATGAAATCCTCCATTCGCATTTTCCAATAGCCATAGTTATCCCCATTGAAGAATGGTGGCTTGGTAATGCTTTGGGAGTTCATTGAATCCATGTGTCGTAAAAAGAAATAATAGATGAGTGTGAAAGGATCAAACTTCCTGCTCCGATACCAATTGAAAGTCGGTTTACACCCTAAGAGGGGGGTGAATTAGGGTGTTTGCTAGTTTTTTGTAAAAACAGAAACTTATGCGCAAAGTAGTAGCGGAAAAGGAGCAAGAAAAGTATAAAAGATAAAAATACGACACAAGCGATTTTATACTGGTTCGGGAACTCCCTACTCCAGTACCTCGAGGCTCCTCCTCAAGGATTTAACCTCCACTAACTTGTTTGGCTTCACTAAGAAGACTCAAACGAGGTTTGGCAAACAACCCTTTCCAATAAGCAAATGAGATTTTACTACGGCTATCTCAACCGTTTACAACCGAAGATTTTAAGGCTATCTTCAACCTTACAATGAGGATTTATAGGCTATCTACACCTTATACAAATCAATAAAGGATTGGTGTTGCTTCTCTACCAGAATGATAACAAATATGAATTGGGTAGAAGAAGAACAAAAGACTAAATCAACAACAACAAAAGCCTATAGGCAAGATATAAAATAATGAATCAAAAATGCCCTTGTGTGTGAGTGTATAAAAATAATGAAAGCTTTATACTCAAAAGAGTAAGAAAAATAAGAACAAAGCTTTTAGAACACTCAAGAATAGAGAAAGAGCTTTAGATTTAATTGGGAAGTTGTTGTGATTAAAATGAGACTTAGAGGGGGTTTATATAGGAGTTTGGAATGTTAAAATATGAATTTTTAACCTTAAATGCCGTTAGGAAGTGATTAGGGGTGATTTGAATTTAAATTGGCAATTTGCTACAGTGTTGTAACGGATCCAGTACCCTTCACGGTAGGGGTCCGTACCGTCCGGTACCTAGGTACCGTGACAACGGTACAGCCTACCGTTAGGGGGTACCGTGTAAGCCATAAAATTATATCGGCTCTGGCGGTATCTGGGTTCAAACGGTCTGGCCAACCTCCCCAAGCCTACCGACGGTACCCAGGTACCGTTGTCACGGTAGGGGGGTACCGTGTACCACCCAGGTGAAACGTACAACGGTACGTTCACTTGGCTACCGGCGGTACCCTGGTGCCGTGTACACGGTAGCCAGGTACCGTTAGACCTGTGCAATTTTTACTAAACTCGTTTTTTTTGTGTTCCGTTTTCAAAATAACCCCAACTAAGAATTTATTTGATATTTTAGAATCACTTTTTGAGTGAAAGGGCATAAGTAAGTCATTAAAATATATCGTTACCTTTACACAAATATTTCTAAGCTCGTAAAAGTACATCTCGGTGATGCTAAACAAGCTAATAGAGGTTTGGCGTTTGGTTTAATCCTGCAAATGATGTTAGTAGCATTGGAAGACTTATTTGGCACATCAAAATGGTTACGGGGTACGGCATTCAAGGCCAACACTATCCGTATTTTGTTGGTAATGCTCCTTACTTTCGCCTTAAAAGTTTTTTAAATTTGAATTACATACACGTTAAAGAGGTGGATTAGATGGAATATGTTTCTCTTCGTTCTTATGAATATCATCATTACATTGCAGACACTATGGGAATTCTTTCGGCGGTTGGGAAGGAAAGAGATATAGCGAGGGAGTCAAAAAAACAAAGATGATTGTGATTACGTTGGAGGCCGAAGGGTATAATGTTATTATTTTTTGTTTTGTAAAAAGAAGTTTTTTTTAATGAACTAATATGTAATGCTAACTTTTTAACTTTGGTATACCAGACAAAGGTTGGATGTTACTTTATTTGGTGAGTATGTTGACGTGCTTAAAAGCTTCTTTCGACACGCGCCGTTGGAACATGCGGTGATTGTCATTCAGTATGCTAAGGTCAAGATGTTTCAAGGTATTAATATCTTGAATACTATTGTGTTCTTTTATTTCCTTTTAAAATGTTGTTAATAGATTTTATTTCTTTACATGTCATTATATATTACACTACTATTTTCTTATATTCAACGTGCGTGCTTTAAGGAAATATTATTCTACAAAATGTAATGTATGGTACACGTCCTCTGTTGAATCCAGAAATAAACGTCGTTACTGCTTTCACACAGAGGTTAGTTCATCTCATATTTAATATGTTTTACTGTCTGATTTTGGTCACAAGTAAGAGTAGAGTTGACACACGCAAACTAATAGAATATTTACCATCATGCATGACTCTTGGTGGTTCTTCTCAACCTCAACCTGTTAGGTTATCATGTGATAACATTACGAGTTCAGACCAAAATGACTTCCTCGATACGAGCACAACAAGGGTCATTGCTAACCTGAAGGAATGTAATGAGGTATATTTGATATTTTTAAGCATTCAATCCATAGTTTCGAGACATTTAATCATTGGTTTGCTTTTTGGATTCAATATATTAACATATGCACTACTAAGTGAGAAATAACATGAGACCTAATATATGAATTCCTCTAAAAAGGATGGATCGTATGTGGTGTACGGGACTATCGTTGCGGTAAACAATGAGAGCGATTGGTGGTATTTAGCATGTAAGTGTAATAGAGCTGTTAAACCTGATGGTGCAATGTACTACTGTGCGCACTGCTCAAGTCGTGTTTTCAAGGTCACCCCGAGGTATAACTCTTTTTATCATCAATGATTTTCTTTTAGTTGTTAAATATGTGCATGTAAGGAGATTACCACTACAAGAAAGGTGGCTTTTCGGCGCACTTAAAAATGTTGTTTGCCACACTTATAAATGTGGAAAAGATGATTTGCCACACATGACCTAAGTGCGGCTACGTAAATGTGGGGAATATTTTGCCGCACTTTTAAATAAGTGCGGCTAATAAATATATTTACGATACTTAGTATGTGTGGCTAATGTTTTGATTTGCCACACTTATATGTGTTCTTATATCACCAACACTTGTTAGTGTTGCAAATGTTGTACTAATTTTTTTATAATATTAATATAATATTCATTATTTATAACAAGATAACAATTATATTTTAATTATTGATCTTTAATTTAAAGAATTTTAATAAAGTACTAATTACAATTCCAACTATTTTTTTAAAAAGCACACGAGCATTTCATTAAAATAAAACCGCCAATAAGTAAGCCAATTGATCAGTATACAAAATAAAACTTGCAAAAATAGACTACAACCATCAAAACTAAATGTCAAACAAACTACATCAGAAAAGGCTAACTCTACGTTTAGATTTAATAAAGACTCTTGTTTGAAGTATGATCATACTAGATGCCTGCAGCAATCTCCCTTGTGTCATGAATCTTTAGACTCTTTGTCCTCCATATATTATAGCAGCATGAAACTATCACAGTTGGCATCCTCAGAATATCAGTCTATCATTCTTCCCATTTCTGAGCTTATCTTCTAATTCATCTAGCAATTTAGCTGTGAGTTCGATTTTTTAACCCAATCAGATACTAAACTGACCATTGCACATGCAAAAGTAAATAATTAAAATAATGAAAATCAAGGTACAATCTAGGTACAACTAATACAGTATTTAAATATTGGAAAGGAAGAAAAGGGTGAGGAAAAACATAAGTAGTATAGGGTACTTTATCAAGATTTAGGCAGCAACCTTGAATTGAAGTAAAGCAGTTTTTTAGCAACTAAAAATGATCAGCTTAATCCAGAATGCATCGTAGTAGGTAATGTTTGATCGAGCTCCCCATGATGCAAGACAAAACTACAAAAAGAGAGATAATGTGACTACTCAAAGAAGCTTTATTCCAATTTTGAGAAAAAAAACCTTAATTATCCATAAAAAAAACTTAAGAAAGATATACCTAGTATTTTTACAAGAGTCATCTGAGAGCATATTCTCTTTGTCTAGAACAATATATACTCCATACCCTGTAAAGTTTTAATGTAATAATGTAATATGCAAGCACATTTATTTTAAAAAGATGAAATCATATGAAGTAAATATATAGCCAGTAAACCAATTCCACATATATATAATCCAATTTGCTTAGGGATCCTAACAAAACATAGAAAATCACTCCCTATTAATCAAAATGCCTAGAGTGTAGTGAGCCCAGTTGCTGAAAATGATTATACCATATCTTGATACTTTGATAGGGTACAATATGAAAAGGCCAAGAGATACTGCAAGTGAAAAGAATCTGACAGCTTTGGTATGTTCTCTCTAAACATCATTCTATATTAGTGACGTAGGAACCCAAAATACTTCTATCACTAACAATGTGGACAATCGAGACTCTCTTTGAAGAAGGACATTGTCTCAAAAAAGTGACTATGTCATGGGTCTATTTGTCTGCCCACATACTGTATTGTGCCAATGAGTCAATATTATCAAAAAAATGATGCATATTCATCAATTGCGAGGTCATTTCTAGAATTAAGAACAAGAGTTAAGTTAACTGATACATCACTATATTTAGTTATTTACCATTCTTATTATATTTCTATTATTATTATTATTTATGGTTAGATAATTTCATTATTATTAGGAAGTATTATTATATTAGGTTATTAGTATTTTAATTTATTTAGTTACCTTTTATGGCTAGGACACTTTAGATCAACCATCTATATATGTAGCCATTATGCATGAGTTTATTATTCAATCAATAAAGAAATATTTCCCTAACCCTAAATCCCCTCTCTCCCCCTCGCCGATCAACGGCCGTCTTCCCCTCTCCCTTCTCAATCTCTTCCTTTCCTCAATTCTATAGCTCGAAGGTGCCCGACCTTCCCTATCCCAATACGATACCGTATCAATTGGTGCTCTCATTGTTGAACTCACCAAAAAAACCAAAAATTTTTTTTGTCATCAGCGTTGAAGAGGAATCTTTGTGCCATCGCCGCTGTAGGTGCACAAGATTTGCCACAGCCGTTGCAATTTTGTTTTGAACAAACAAGGTAGCTGAAATTTATCCATAGGATAGCTTTTTCTGGAAGAAAAAAAAAGTTGCAGAATAAAGATTGCCTTTGGTTCAATTGCCCCACAGAAGAAGCAGGTTCCCTATTTAAACAAAAAAGTCCACCTCAATCGCCCCTTCATGTATCGCCAGCAAAAAAAAATTGCCGCCCTCCGTCCAGACACCATATCATTTCGAGATCAGTTTTGGTGCCAAAAGTTGTTGTCTGTGCATTTTTTTACCACAAATTATTTCTTATGTGTGCTAAGAATTGAGTTTGGTTATCAATTTGGGTTGGAACCCTGCCGCTACCAAACCCTAGTTTGGCCGCACACTAACGCAGGAAAAACTACTATGATGCCTATCTCCATGGAAACAGTGATGCAGGCACTCCAGGATTTGATGCTAGAAGTGAACGATACCAACAAAATGCTTGATGCTTTGGTTGCGACGGTTCGCGATGATAGAACTGACCCACTTGGTGAACACGTCGGATATTTGCCCGACACACGTTGGCATCCCCCACCATCATGCACAACGCACCGCAGTGAAATACCAGATCGCCTACCACAACACCGCTTCGATCCACCATGCATTCACGAGGACGAACCCGACCCAGGACTTGTGACGTGGTTTCACAGAGTTACAGGCTTTTGTCACGATGCATGTATATCAATGCTTGAACAGGAAAACGAAAGGCGCGTGCAGGAACCGACTGAAGTAATTCAGTCATTCATAGCGGAGGAAAATTTTGTTGATCATGTAGGTGTTCCCGATGATTTTACTACTGATCCCATAGATGTTGTTCATGTACCCGTTGCTGATGTTGTTGTTGATGTTTCTTGTGACGATCAAAGAGACCGCACTGTCCAAGCAAAATATTCAAGAGATGGTGTCATTTTTTATGGATGCACAGAAAAATTTGGGACGTCAGAAACTGACATTGTTGTCCTTTATAATTCTGAGGATGTTGCATGTGATTGCATACTATTCCTACTCTTGGTTGCCCGGAACTGTTTACTTGACACTGGGAATGTTTTAGGCATGACTCGTTCTTTTGGTGCTCCAAGGATCGAGGTGTTTGACCCCGGAGGATGGAAGATGAACGGTGCAATTTTTTCCCGTTCTTTATTTGATTTCCAACTTGAGGACAAGTTGGTTTTCGAGGCGGGAAGAGTGATATAGGACTATATTTAGTTATTTACCATTCTTATTATATTACTATTATTATTATTTATGGTTAGATAATTTCATTATTATTAGGAAGTATTATTATATTAGGTTATTAGCTAGTATTTTAATTTATTTAGTTACCTTTTATGGCTAGGACTCTTTAGATCAACCATCTATATATGTAGCCATTATGCATGAGTTTATTATTCAATCAATAAAGAAATATTTCCCTAACCCTAAACCCGCTCTCTCCCCCTCGCCGATCAACAGCCGTCTTCCCCTCTCCCTTCTCAATCTCTTCCTTTTCCTCAATTCTATAGCTCGAAGGTGCTCGACCTTCCCTATCCCGATACGATACCTATCATTAACCAATAGCAAAACATAGAGCATAAGGGAGTAAAACTTTTAGCTGAAAAAATAATGCGGATGAAATCTTAAAGTCTTACTTGAATCCATATCCAGACATTACTTCAGTAGGTTAACTTCTCAACAGAAACATTAAATACAAATACTCAAGATTGTGAAATCTTGCAAAATAGAAACAAAATCAAAATAAAAATCAAGGTAGAACTACATATAACAAACAATCACAGAACGCATTAGATTCAAAACCAACACAAAGTCAATCATTTAATAGGATTGAAATATTGAATATAAATTCAAATCTGTTCAAGCCCTAAAACATACACAGTAAAACTAGACAAGATATTGAAAATGGCAAATAGGGGTAGTTGTGAATGAATTTTCTGTTTCTAGTTCTAATAGAAATGGGATTCCAAAGAAGAAAGGCAGACCAAAGGGCAAGAAGAAAAAATCAGAAATGAAATCATATCAAAATTACACAAAAACCTAGCCAGAACTATATATAAAAAAACATATCACAGTATGCATTAGATTCAAAACCAACACAAAATCAATCATTTAACAGGATTGAATATAAATCCATAACCGTTCAAGCCCTAAAATATACACAATATAACTATAATTGGACATTAAATATGAAACCAATGCATACATTGTTAGCGTTATGTATATATGTTTTTATATTGTATTGTTGTATATTGGGCTAGTCATGTTGGGCCTGTAACTCATGTATATATACTCTGACGTATCAAGGAAATAACCTACAAATTCAGTTCACAAAATTCTACATGGTATCAGGGCCTCTTTTCTGGGAAGTCACGTAAAACCCTAGGGCTCTCCGTTCCCCGTCGTCGTCGTACCAGTCGAGTCGCCAACCGGTTGTTTCGTCGCCGCCGGCCTCGTCTGTCGCCAGGGTTTGTCGCCGGTCCAGTAGGTCTTCCTGTCGTCTCCCTTGCTTGTCTCCGTCGTGCATCATCATGTCAACCGAAGGGAACTCAAACCCTAAGAAGACTAGATTGATTCATGATCCGTCGTCAGTGTATTATCTTCATCCTTCCGAAGGTCCCGGTAATTCTTTGACCAAATATCTATTGAAAAGTGATAATTTTGATATTTGGGAAAAGGCGATACGTAATGCACTTGGTGGTCATGGTAAATCTGTTTTTTTGTCCCCCGGTGGTATTCCCCAACCCACCGATGAGCATGAGTTATCTGCATGGTCTGCCAATAATCAAATAATTTGTAGTTGGATCTTCAACAGTGTTGACGAATCCATTCAACCTAGCATTGTGTCTCACACCGTTGCGTCTGTGCTCTGGGAGGATTTGAAGAAGCGTTATGGTTGTTCTAATGGTCCTCGTGTGTATCAATTGAAGTCTGAGTTGAACTCCTTGCGACAAAAGGGACAAACGGTTGTCTCTTATTATAATCAATTCATCACTTTATGGAATCAACTCCATGGCACGTCTGATCTCACCAATGGCTGCAAATGTGAGGCGGCTGCCCTCACGCGTGCTTGTATTGAATGAGATAAAACTATTGATTTCTTGCTTGGTTTGGATGATGAACAGTTTGGTCCCATTCGGTCCCAAATTCTTGGAACCGAACCGGTTGTTGATATTGACCGTGGCTATTTTCTAGTCTCTCAGGAAGAACGTCACCGTCATATTGTGCGTGCTCGTGATGATCGTACAGACTTATGCTCTCACTGTGGTCGCACCAATCACAATGTGGAAACGTGTTTTGAGCTTATAGGTTTTCCACCACAGTACGGCCGAGGGGGAGGATATCTAGGTGGCTCCACCCGGGGTGGTCGCGAGGCTGGTCTACCCGTAGGCAGGGGAGGCCGTGGTCCTGGAGGTAGCCCAGGCAGTAAGCCAGTCCAGTCCGGCAGTGGGTCGGCCGTCGTCCCTGCCGCTGCAGTGCATGCCGCCTCGAGTGATGCGAACAGTTCTCTCTGTGATCAAATGAGCCGTCTCATGTCTATGTTGGAAGCATCCGCATCGCACACCTATTCGGGTAAATCGTTTTCTCCTTGTGAATGGCTTATTGATAGTGGTGCATCTCATAACATGACGGGTACTTTGTCCCATTTATTTAATCTCGTGGATGTTCCTCCTCATCCTATATGTCTACCCGATGGTTCTCGTATTAAAGCTACAAAGCAGGGAAGTGTTCGATTATCTCCTCATTTGGTGCTTCATCATGTTTTCTTTGTTCCCCCTTTGCACTGTCACTTAATATCTGTCGGTTGCTTGATACGAGATACTACTTGTCATGTAATTTTTAATGATCATGGTTGTGTAATACAGGACCGTTCGTCGAAGATGGTGATTGGACAGGGTGAATTAGGGAACGGAGTCTATCATTTTGCTTCCCCTCTTGCGTCGGCCAAGGCTACTCAACTTGACCCATTCCTTCTTCATCAACGTTTGGGTCATCCGTCATCCGATATTTTGTCTTTCTTTAATTTTAATAAGTCCTAGTCTGTTGTCAAGAAACTTCAAACGTGTGAGATTTGTTTTATGTCTAAACAAACTCGGTCTTCTTTTTTTATCAGTCATAATAAAGCTCAGGCAATTTTTGATTTAATTCACTGTGATTTGTGGGGGCCATATACTGCTTGTTTATCATCTGGTGCTCATTATTTTCTCACTATTGTGGATGATTTTTCCCGGGCTGTTTGGGTGTACCTTATTCATTCGAAGGGTGAAGTTACCTCTTGTCTCCAACGTTTTTTTTCAATGATTCACACCCAATACTCAAAAGTCATAAAGGTTGTTCGTTCTGATAATGGTACTGAATTTCTTAATATTTCTTTACGCCATTATTATGACTCTATGGGTGTATGTATACAAACATCCTGTGTTGGTACCCCACAACAGAATGGCCGGGTTGAGCGCAAACATCGTCATATCTTAAATGTTGCTCGCTCTCTTATGTTTCAAGATTCTTTACCAGTTGAGTTTTGGGGGGAATGTGTTAAAACAGCAGTGTATTTATTCAACCGAACCCCCACCAAACTTCTTGGCGGTAAATCCCCGTTGGAGATCTTATCGTCAAAGCCTCAAGATTTAAGTCATCTCCGTGTCTTTGGTTGTTTGTGCTTTGTTCGTCTCAATCCTAAACCCGCCAATAAATTCTCCCCTCGTAGTGTCAAATGCATGTTCGTGGGATATCCTTTTGGTACGAAAGGGTGGCGGGTATACAATCTTGACACACATCAGTTTTTCCATACCCGGGATGTTGTCTTCGACGAAACCCAATTCCCGTTTTCCGTCCCGCCGTCCATTTCTTCTCCCACGCCTGTTCTTAACCCTTCCGCCGAGGATTTTCCGGTTGCTCCACCCGTCATACCGACCCAGTCCCCCACCCCTACCCCGGTCGCTGCCCAGTCCATTCCCACCAGTCCATCACCCACTCCAACCTCCTCTTCGTCGTAGATCAGTGACGAGTCCTCGGGCAGCCCGTCACCTTCCTCGGGGGAGACCACTTCTCCCTCCGATTCACCAGTCCCATTACCTCCTTGTACTCGTCGCTTACCTTCTCGTCTAAATGACTATGTTCTCAATTCCACAAAAATTGATAGTCCGTCTCCTACTTCATCCGGTTCGGTCTCGTCAGGTACTCGGTTCCCTATTACTAACTTTGTTCATTATCATAAGTTGCATGACAGGTACAAAGGCTTTCTTGGTGCAATTGATGCTTCCCCGGTTCCTAAAAGTTTTAAGGAAGCCGTACAGTATGCTTCTTGGAGAGATGCCATGGCGGAGGAGTTTAATGCTTTGGTGAGGAACCACACCTGGGATATTACTACTCTGCCACCTTATCGTCGGGCTCTTGGGTGTCAATGGGTGTTTCGCACCAAATACAAATCTGATGGTACCAAAGAACGCGACAAAGCTCGCTTGGTAGTACTGGGGAATCACTAAGAACTGGGTATTGATTTTACTGACACCTTCGCCCCTGTGGCAAAGTTGGCTACTGTTCGAGTTTTACTTTCTGTTGCTGTTGCTCGTGGTTGGCAGGTTGATCAGCTTGACGTAAATAATGCCTTTTTGCATGGGGATCTTCGTGAGGAAGTTTATATGAAGGTTCCTCCTGGTTATGCTCATTTATTTCCGGGGAAGGTGTGTTGCTTGCGGAAGTCTTTATATGGGCTTCGTCAGTCTCCCCGTAACTGGTTTGCTAAGCTTCGTCTAGCACTGCGTCGTTATGGGTTTCGTCAAGCACATGCTTATCATACTCTGTTTGTTTTAAATCGTGGGCCTGATATGCTTGTGGTTCTAGTATATGTTGATGATATTCTTGTGGCAGGTAATAATCCTTCTCTGTGCTCTTCATTCAAGAAATATTTGGATGAGTGTTTTCGACTAAAGATCTCGGCCCGGTCTCATATTTTTTGGGCATAGAGTGTGCCCGTAATTCTTCTGGTATGGTCCTTAATCAACGTAAGTATGCTCTCGACATTATTCAAGAGCACAATTTATCTGGTTGTAAGCCTGTTGAGACTCCTATGCCGAGTGCTCATAATCTTGCTCGATCTACTAATGCCGCGCTCCAGGACCCGGCGAAGTACCGACGGCTTGTTGGCCGTCTCTTGTACCTGACTATTACTCGGCCTGATATTTGTTATGCAGTCCACACTTTGTCTCAGTTTATGCAGGCCCCTCAGTTGGACCATTGGAATGCTGCTTTACGTGTTCTTCGTTATCTCAAAGGGCATCCTGGACAGGGTATTCTCCTACGCAACGACAGTGATCTCGCTTTGAGGGCTTTCTCAGATTCTGATTGGGCGAGTTGCCCGATTACTCGACGGTCTATGAGAGGATATTTTATTTTGCTTGGTGGTTCTCCTATTTCTTGGCGAACTAAAAAGCAAACTACAGTTTCTCGTTCCTCCGCTGAGGCAGAGTATCGTGCCATGGCTAATGCATGTGCAAAGATCCGGTGGATCCGAGGTTTACTTGCTGCGCTTGTTGTTCCTTGTGTTGCTATTCCAAGATTATATTGCGATAACAAGTCTGCGCTCTTCATTGCTGCTAATCCGGTCTTCCATGAACGCTCCAAACATATTGATATTGATTGTCACATTGTCCGGGAGTGTATCCAACGTGCTCATGTCGCTACCGCCTATGTCCCTACACGGTTGCAAACCGCAGGTCTCTTTACAAAGGCGCTACCGGCACCGCTTTTTCGTTCTCTTTTGTCCAAGTTGGGCATTTTCGATGTTCATGCTCCAACTTGAGGGGGAGTGTTAGCGTTATGTATATATGTTTTTATATTGTATTGTTGTATATTGGGCTAGTCATGTTGGGCCCGTAACTCATGTATATATACTCTGACGTATCAAGGAAATAACCAACAAATTCAGTTCACAAAATTTTACATGAAGAGGAAATTGAAGAAATACGTCAGAACTATACCATTGAAAATACTATTTGATGCTGGATTTAGTTTCGTCACTGCCACTTGCTGTCGCCAAGTTCTAACCGGTGGTAGGCTCTCTAAATCGTGACCCTTTACATTCTTCTTCCATCACTTCATCTGGTTTCTTCTTCGCGAGATCCATGGTCGGGATCTCTGGTTTCGAACCTTATCTTTGGTGTCATCTCTTTCCCTTCGTTGCCCTCGTTCTTGCTCGCGTCTCGAGAATCAAGATGAAGAACCGATTTGGGATTTATGGGTGAATCTAATGCTTGAGTCTGATGCGGTTGTGGTATTTGCGTAAACCTAATTTACGGAGAAGGAATAATTATATGGGTTGGAACTTTTTGTGTGTGTATTATTTGAAAAGAAAGAATAATAAAAAGGGTTAATTTCTTATTGTGTATTGGGAACACCAAATTGGGTAAACGTAGATATACTCCCTCCGTCCCACTGTCTTTGTCCACTTATCTTTTGGCACACCATCCAATGCACTTCTTTAATCCATTTTATCTTGTAATTTGTATATTAAAAAATTATAGAAATTATATATTAATAATCTATATGTTAAGACAAATCAAACAAGATCACACATGACTATATTTAGGCTTACACATTGAGAAAACTTGATAAGTCAAAGTGCTTATATGAACAGTTCCAAAAGTCAAAAGTGGACAAAGACAGTGGGACGGAGGTAGTAGTTATTTTTCAGTCTCCAACACTCATAAGTGTGAAAAAGTTAAACACGCATTTATTGCTTACCACATTTAGTTATGTGCGGCAAAATAAGTGTGGTAAAAAGCATATTTTCTTGTACTGTACTTAAAAACCTTTTGAATTTTTTAAACTATTCTCTACTTCAGATATCTTATCAAGCTGTCTGTTAAAGATGATTCGGGAACAACCACATTTGTTTTATTTGACCGCGAGGCATCCAATATTTTGAATATATCTTGTGCACAATTGATGGAAAAGTGATGTGGTATGTACTCTTGCTTCAAAACGCTTGGTTTATTAATTTTTATTATATCATACAAAGTTTTACTTTAATTGTTTTTTCACATACTAACAAAATGTTGCTTTTATGTATGAAAGTAGCATGTCCTTACTATAGGAAGTTTACTAATAACACACGTGGAATTAATATCTAACAATTTTGACCATAATGAATAAAGCCCACACATATTGTCCACATGAAAAAAGGTTATATTTTTTAAAGTAAATGCTGCTGAAATCCCTACTAAAAATGGTGCTTAAATTTAAGAAATAAATGTAAAACATTCATAATTTTTATGATAGTTAAAAACAAATGTATAATACTTCAATTTACTTCATTTTGAAGACAATGTTTGTCTTATTTATAAACTAATGTAACGGATAAATTTCTCGCAGGATGGAAGTTTTGAAAATCCAAAAGGGTTTGATGACCTCTTGCTTGGCAAGACGTATATTTTCAAAGTTGAGGCAAGGGCCATGAACCGCGGCCAACATGAACACTCTTTTAGAGTGTCAAAAATATGTCACGATGATACCATCAAGAAAAAATACCTGGAATCTATTCATGCAAAAAATTCAAAAGCTGCAGTTAATAGCGCTATACCGGTGTACTCCGTTGAGGAGGATTTTTTAAACAATACGCTTGCTAAAACAATAGAGTCTTTGAAGGATTGCACGGAGGTTAGTTATACCATTTTAATACACACTTCTTGAAGACATTTCCAAAACATTGTATTTAATAATTTACCTATTTTGGCACTAGGATGGAGAGTATGCAGTCTACGGTACCATCAAAGGTGTGGATGGTGGAGCTGATTGGTTCATACCAACGTGTAGGTGTGGATCGGAAGTGATTCCACGGAATGACTTTTACTACTATAGCGACTGTAAAAAACATGTTGTGAACGTGATTCCAAGGTAATATTACTCTTAAAATTCTACCAAGATTACAGCTTTTAGCCTGCCTACCAATTTCCTAACCATTTGAAAAGCCTTCTTGATAGAGAAGTAGATTGATCACACTTTGTGTCATTTTTTGTCATTCCTTAATACAAGATCACAAAACATATAATAAGGTTGATGACATTTTTTAATCATAGTGTATGATCAACAAAAATATAATAACGTTGTGGATTTCGAGATTTAAATGTTTTTTATTAGAGTATGCAAGTTTTTACACTACTTATTTACAAATATATAGTCTGATGTTCCACTTATTATACTTTTTTTAATAGTCTGATTGATGATGTTTCTCCGGTACGTGAGTATTGAAAAAACTGATTTTTACTTTTTATCCTGCATATTATGACGTGACTTTTCACATGGATTACATTGTTACAAAGTATTTTAATTTTTCAATTACTAAATGAGTCAGTTTCAACGTTATTTGGTTCAGATACTGTTTTTTCTCACATGTGGGTCAATTACTGTTTATTTTTTCATACAAGAAGATAAGCAGAGAGAGGAAGTGATGATAATGTATTCCCACAGTGTCTAGTTTCTTTGAGTTGTAGTTTGCAGAAAAACTACTAAGTACTTGAGTTTAGTTTGGTGTTGATATAACAATCTCACCTTAAAAACTAATCACACTAAGACGTTTTGTGTAAGACAACCAAAAACGGTATCTCCAGTGCTTATCTACATAGTTTTTGTTATTAGAATTTTAACAAATTATAAAAACATATGATAACACCTAATGGTAAATATTAATATAATGAATATATGCAGGTATCGAATTAAGGCAAGAGTGAGCGATGCAGCAGATAGTGCGACTTTTGTGATATTTGAGAGCGTTGGATGTTTGTTGTTGCATAAGTCCTGCTCTGAGATGCTGAAATTCTGTGAGGTATGTATAAAAAAACTTATTACATTAATGCAGTTTGTATAAAGACCTTAAGAAGTATGTGAGATGTGAATTTCTTTGACACTTACTGTCAAAATGAATAGCTGCCCCCGAGTAATGTTCCTATTTGTATATAAAGGGCGTGCCAGGAGGATGTGAACAACCAGATGTGTTCAAACAAATGCTACTTGAAAAGGCATTTATCTTCAAGGTTGAAGTCAAGACTGCAAACCTCAATGATTTTGAACCTTCCTACAATGTGAATGACATATGCTTTAATGATCAGATCATTGCAAAATTTATGGAGATGCACTCTTCATTTTTCTCTCCTCAGGTTTGGAATTAAAACAATAACTTCAAGCTCATTCTCTACCACTTTTTGAATGATGGAATATTTATGTTTGATAAAATATTTATATTTTCTTTATACCAGACGGATAAGACTATCGAGTATTCAACTGATGGGAAGACAAACACAGAAGTCATTTCAGTTGGCAATGCATCGTCTTGCGTAAAGGTATTGAAATCCAAGACATAAAATAAGATTAATGTTTAAATATTTTTTATTCATTAAATTTCATGTGCAACCTTAAAATCAATTTTTTCCCATCTTTTATTTTATAAATTCAATTGTGATAAATTGAATTTCCAACTATTTATAGTGTATAACCCTTTGATGTTCTCCTTGCAGAATTTAATTGTGGACTTTGTGGAATCTCAAGATAGTCATCTGACACAACCTAGAGATGATGTGATCAATCTTATTCCCATGAAAAGAATGCAAGAGGAATTGTATAACGTTGGAGATGGAGATGACTCCGTCAACAAGATGAGGAGTGTTAAGATTGAAAAAAATTAATCATTATTGTTATTTCTTCATTGGAGTATTATGAGTTAATTGTTGGATTTCATTACTATATACTTTAAGTTTTATTTTAATATTTGCATGAATAATGTTGTTGGTTTTGAATAATGAATGTTATTACACCTACAATAAATTATCTTTTCCTAACTGTTGTCATACGTTATTATGTCTAAATTTATTGTGAACTAAGTGTTGTGTAATGCGTCTGATTTTTATAACATTCTAAAACAATATCAAAGAATTCAATTGTTAATGATGATTCAATTTAAATATTTTTTCATTTGATGAAACTCTGTATGTCTTGGGATATAATTTAAAAACTATTTACAAAATTGGGCATAATTTAAAGGTAATAAATTTAGAGTTCTAAAAAGTAAATTAAAGTTAGAAGTATTCAAAATATTCTAAGAGACATGTTTTCTAGGTTATTTATTCTTAATTCCTAAATGATGCTTTTTCCTATTCATTTATTCGTTTCACAATAACATAGTATTTAAGAGACAAATCAATGAAAAAGATATTTTTTCATGAACACAAATCAAAATACAAACTTTGTATTTTTGTGAAACATCAATCTATTAAACAAGCATTTTTGAAAAATATGTGTTTTTACCTATACATTTCAAATAAACGTGTTTAGAGAGACATGTTTCTAATGTGTTAAATAATTTAATGCTATAACAATGATTAATATTTTTAATTTAGATAGTATGTTTTCAAGGTCATTTTTCCTTTCGTTTAAGAAAATGCTTTATCTTAAGGAAACTTATTTGTTTCACACTAACACGTATTTTAAAAAGGAGTCAATGTAGAAGATTTTTTTTATCTAAAACACATGCCAAAACATAGGCTTTGGATTTTTGCGTGTTAAACAATTTCTACAAGAATCGTGATTAATTACTTCTTCCACGCTATGTGTCATAAGTTAGTTATTATTTTGTGCACAAAGTTAGAATTTTTATTGTATAATACTAATTCTATAGATGCAATTACTGTTAAATAATAATCTAAAGTAGTTTTTGTTATTTTATTAAATTATTCATATATGGTACACGCTAATTGCAAGGAATTAAAAATTGAAAAAAAAACTGTTATAAATAAAAACAACATTTTTTAATATAATTGCTTATACATGTAAGTAAAAGGGAGAAAAATAAATAATACATGTTAAACAATGTAGTTTTTAATACATAACATGTGACTTATTTATATTACAAGGAAAAAAAGCAATGAAAGGTTTTCATGCACACCTAAAATTTTAACAGCTTTGTCGTTGATATTCTTTTTTTTACTCCCTCCATCCCTAAATAAACTTCTTCTTTTGTTTTTTGTTTGTCCTCAAATAAACTTCTCTTTTCCCTTAAAAAATCCCTTTTAGCCCATACCCTATCTATCACATCATACCTTTTACTAATAATCTACTATCACATCTTACTTTTACACATCACAACAAGGATATTTTTGGAAAGTCAACACAAAAATATCTTTCTTTTAAATCCTCAAAAGGTCAAAAAGAGAAGTTTATTTAGGGACATAGGGAGTAATACTTATACATTCCTGAAAAAATGATATAAAAATCATACATGAGACTTTTTTGAAAGAAAAAAAATAAATCATATCATAATACTATTTTGTTTACATTAACATGGAATAATATAAGTTTAGCTTTTAAAAATCTTTTTGAAATTAGAATGTATACATTGTAGTAAAAAAGCAGAAGAAACATAAAACGAATGAAATCATACATTTGTTTAAAGATAACACATCCATTATCTATATTAAAAGGAAAAAAATCTACGAACAATTTCACTTTGCCAAAAATAAGAAAACCATTAAAATTATATTAAAAAATAAAAAAATATATGCTTGAAATTTATTTCTAAGCTAAAATACACAAATTCTGATCCCCTAAAAAAGGCAAATGGAAAAACTTAAAGATCGATTTCAAAGTCTTTTAATATACGTATGTATGTATGTACATATAAAAAGATACTAAACTATTTCAATAAATATTTTTAAAAATCTAAAAAAAAATTCACATTAATGATATTTTCAAGAATTTCATAGAGAATTAAATTTCTCTATAAAATAAAATTTTACTTCTAATATCACGAGTTACCTTATTAAAGAATACATCAAATCTATATATTTATGACATAGTATCACTTATTATTAATATAATTCCTATTAGAAGTAAAATTTTACTTCTAATATCACGAGTTACCTTATTAAAGAATACATCAAATCCATATATTTATGACATAGTATCACTTATTATTAATAGAATTCCTAATTAAAAATATTCTTACCAAAAAGAACAAAACTACTTATTTTGGACATGTAATGGGAACTTTATATATGAATACACGATATTCATGGTTATTTCTCATCCAGCCGTAAACTTCTGTTATTGTTGTTATTATTATCCAACGTAATTTTGGAACCAAATTTTAATCAACAGTTTTTTATTCTTTATGTAGACAAATTTTTTTGGGTTTTATTTTTTGCATTCTGCTCCCTCCGTCCACGAGTATTAGTCCAGTTTTTACTTTTTCCAGACAAAGTTGATAAACTACGACCTCAAAAAAAAGTAAAAAAAAAATAAAAAAAGATATAAAAATAATATTATTTGATATATTATATCAAGTATTTTCAAAATATTACTTTATCTTAGTAATATAAAACATATTTTTTATTTAATTATAGGTCAAGTGTTAAAAACAATTGACCGCAAAAAGTCAAAACTTAACAAATACTTAGGGACGAAGGTAGTAATACACAAAAATAGGCATTATGTTCTAAAACTTTTATTTTCATTAACCTATCATATATAAAACTTAGGAATTATACCCATAAAACATTCCTAAAAGAAGCATTAAAAAGTATTTACTTTTCCATATATCAAATATTAGTACAATATTTTCTTTCTATGCTTAATTACATTCACAGATGGAGAAACATCGTCGTCGGCTATAGGCTTGCATAATCGAAGCGGTTCGAGAAAGAATGTACTTTGTGATGTGACAAATGGTAATTTTTTTTATTATAATTAAGATTTAAATATTTCCAGTACATTTTCCCTAAAACAAAGACCCAATACAGTGCTTTAATCAGAGAATAATTCTACACCCACTTCATCACGCTTTCAAGTGCATAAAAGACAGAAGAGAATTGATCTATGTGCAATAACACGTTCTATTACTTTCGAAGAAGGTTATCATTCAAAAAACTTCTTTGTGTATTAGATAACTATAGGTATATGATACTATTAACAATATATTTAAATACTAACTAACTCCATATGGGGGATCATACACTAAATTTATATTTTAAATACACAAAAATGTTGATGTTGAAGGTTCATCTACTCAATATACATCAGCAAAACCATTTTTAGATAATCTTGCATTTGGAGAAGCTGAAATTAAAGGTATGTTTACATAATATGTACGACATTTAATTTGTGTAAAATGCTAAATCTTTATATACAACTTTCTATATCATATTTTATTATTCCTGTGTAGATATAATTGATTTTGGAGATCCCACATTTAAATGTGAATTCTGTGGAGCATTGTTATGGTATGGAGAAAGAGCCGAAATAAGTAAAGAATCAGAAAATCCCGACTTTTCAATTTGTTGTATGAAAGGAAAAGTTGAACTGCCTCTGCTTAACAAACCTCCAGATTTGCTCTATAATTTATTTAATGGAAGTGACGTTAGGAGTTCCCATTTTTTGAACAATTTAAGAAAGTACAACAATATGTTTTTATTCACGTATATGGATGGAAATATTGATACATCTTAGAACAACGGTCGAGCAGCTCCACAGTTTACTCTTAGTGGTCACAATCATCATCACATAACATCATTGTTGCCACAAGATGGTGGAAGGCCAAGATTTACTCAATTGTATATTTATGATACACAGAACGAGGTATCAAATAGAATGGCTCATTTCAGGTATTTTAAATATTTTATTATGTGCGGACCTTTAATGTATGTAATCTTTATTTGTGCCTGACAAAATATTGTCATGGAACATAACTATCATAATAACATACTTTTTTTGTTTCATGCAGTAGGCGGAATAATTCTTCGTCTATTGATATACCTTTAGTCGAGGATTTGAAATTTATGATAGATGAACATAATGTTTTAGCACAGAGTTTTAGAAGAGCTAGAGATTTCGTGCATAGTGAGCCCACATCTACTTTGTCTATGAGGCTTTTAAGAAGTAGATCTAGAAACTTGAGGAATTATAATATCCCCACAGCGGACGAAGTTGCAGCTCTAATAGTTGGAGATTTTGATTCATCTAATAAAGAAAGGGACATCATCGTCGCAAAAAGAAATGGATTCTTGCAACAAATCCATGAGACACACCCCGCGTTCATACCTCTTCAGTACCCTTTGTTGTTTTCTTTTGGGGAAGACGGCTATCATGAAAATATCCGTATAAGAGAATCATTTTTCCTGCAAAACAATGTAAAGCGTCCAAATGTATCAGCAAGAGAATTTGTTGCATTTCGTATACAAGAAAGGGAAAATGATGGTGGCATTTTGTTGCTTGCACGAAGATTGTACTTACAATTTCTGGTAGATGCTTACACGATCGTTGAGGCACAGAGAATCCAGTGGGTAAAGTTAAACCAAGATCAATTAAGGGGAGCAATTATGAGTGGCATAGAAGAAGCTGTGATTAGAGGTGATACCCAACCGGCATCCGTTGGCCAACGAATTATTCTACCATCTTCATTCACTGGGGGAATGAGATATATGTTTAACAACTGTCAAGATGCTATGGCCATTTGTAGAAGACTTGGTTATCCAGATTTGTTCATTACTATGACATGTAATCCCCAGTGGCCAGAGATTGCAAGATATATGACAGTAAGAAAATGTAGAGCTGAAGACAGACCTGATATTGGATCTAGAATTTTAAAATGAAATTGGATCATTTGGAAAAGGACTTAAAAAAAGGCCGAATATTTTGTGAAGTGATTGCAGGTAATGCTATAGTTTGGTATCTTATTTCCATTTAAATAATAAAATTAATATACTTTAGACATTATTATTTTATGTATCGTCATTTGACTGAAATAATTGTGTGCAGGTTTGTACACTGTTGAGTTTCAAAAGAGAGG